ATGTGTCAAGGCTAGAAATAAAATACATTATACCTGTTAATCTTGTTTTTAGCCCATGTGCAAAATAATTACTCTTCTCATTTGAAAAGTGATTTTCACCTCTCAAGAGTCAGAGGTCTCTGAAAAATCTGAAAGCATGGGTGATTTCTCCCAAGAAATGTGTATACTCACATAAGTAAAACAAGTTTTCATACTTCTTCAGAGGTCCTTGAACACAACTCCACCTTTGTTGAGGAGTCTTATCTCCAAATCAGTACTCTGTTAGGGGCTATATAACACCTCAAAACAGTGTTTTGGTTTTTCTTCTTACATTTTTTAGGGGGATTAAATTACATGAGAAATACACATTCATGATGGGAAAGAAATGATTAAAAATTTTTAAATCACTTAAAATTCTTTTCATTTGGAGATAACTGCTATTAATGTTTGCTATGCTAAAATTTGTATGTTTATTATATATTCTAATTTTTTAACTTTGGTTAAAATTTTATAGCCTTTTTCATTAAAAATATATTGTGAACTTTATTTATTTTTTATACATTTTTTTGAGGAATTTCTTATAAAATATATCACTCTAGTGACCTCTTGTTTTACGGTGTTCTTTTGAGTCCTTGATTTTTATAGTCTATATTTTACTGTAAAGAATTTATAATTTGAAGCTATAGTTTTGATTCTTGGGTTACCAGGCATTGACAGTCATTAGATAATGATAACCTTTAGGATTTTGAATAATTCAGGCAATGTGCTATCAGGTAAGTGAGGATTGATTTCCATATCAATAAGTTTTTACAAACACCTTGGATTAAGTACTTTGGTGTTGGTACAGATTATGTTTACTTAGAGATTGTATTTTTTTGGTAGATCTTAAGTGAGTTCTGGTCTGTATCTAAAATTGTTCTTTGACAATTTCAAATAATTATATTTGAAATAGAGATTTTTTCATTAACAGTAGAGTGACTGAACAATTATATATGACATTTGATTAAATCTACTTTAGAAAATTAGGAATAGATTTTATTTATACAGATAATATATGTAGACTACAAAAAAATGAGTAAGTGTAACTGAGTTGACTTTTTCCTTATTTCAGAGAGCAGCCAAAATGGCACATTGTTCATGGGACAAACTGCTTATCTGTCTTCCGAGGGAGCAAAGTCAGCATTTGAGGTAAATTTGAGTTTTACTCTGTAGATATGTGATAAATAACGTTCCTTAGAGAACACTAATTAAAGCTTCTGTTAGGGCAGCATTGTGTATTTTCCTCGGTTCTTGTCCCCGCTGCAACAAAGAATTGAAGGGCAGAGACACAGTAGTAAAGCAGAGTAAATTTTATTTAAAGATACTTAGAGAAAAAGTTCAGGCAACCTCAGAGAGAGAGGAACACCCTGAAAGGTTGAAAAGAGAGTTTAAAGTTAAAAGGTTANACTGGCATCGATATGGGAGCATATCAAACAGGACTGCCTGCCCAGCCCCCAAGGTGGGCTGAGTTATTGTCTGTTTGCTAAAGAGTAAGTTAAGAATCTTACTTCTTAACTTGCCTGCCTTTTACTGTGTTGTTTATGGCTGGGCCTGCATGCTAAATTAGTTGCCTAGGTTTCAAACTACTTGATTAGGGCCGATGGAGGAAAAAAAACAGCATATAGGTGAAGTTAAAAAATACTCTAGGCCTGCATGATTAACACAGTAAAGACAAAGGCTATGTTTAGGAGGTACCCTCCTTTATCTGGGGAATATTCAAACATTCCAGCCCAAGTTGCTCCTGGCTTTTTGAGCTTTAACTGATTAACTCTGGGTCTTTTTTTAGTGGTTCTTTTCCTGGCCTTATTCTCTTTCCACCCCGCTCATATCTATGTTCCTGCCTAACACTTCTATTTCTAGTTGTGCATTTTATTCCTGTTTGAATTACAAACAACTTTTCAGTGTCTTTTAATTTAGAAAAGTAATCTTTTAGTAACGTGTTAAAGACCTGTTCATTTATTCCTTAACATAACTTTCTTTGCATTCTTGAATTTTTAAGAAATTAAGCTATTATGATTCATATCTAAAATAAGATTTTTAAATTTGAGAACAAATTATCCCTTGGCAGTTTCCTTTGGCATTTTACTTGATATCTTGACAAAACTAGACATTTTAAATAATCTTTACGTGGCACAGCTGTTCAAGTTTATTTAACACCTAATGGAAATTCAGCCCTTTTATCTTCTGACTACCGAGTTACACTCAAATAAACCCATGGAACTGGTGAGAAATGAATCCTCTCTTTTCTGTGGTCATTGCTTATTAAAGTGGCCTTCTCAGCTTTTGCAGCCCATGAGAATTAGGCTGCATTTTGATCTCATTTGGAGAGAGAATCACCAAGAGAAAACACCAACGTGTTTTCAGACTGAAAGATGAGTACACTATTGAGTAATCCTTTTCTATTGGGTAGGACTACTATCTTTTATTTTAAACTGAAATTACCATACTACTAAGCACCATTATACACTTTGAATTGTGTAAGAAATATAAGGTCCTTAAATAATTGTTGAATTGATTGTCTATAAAATTATTCCATAGGGAGAGGAAGAAAAGTCACTTGAAGACAATGTCTATTTTGGAACTGTCAGTGATGATTCTGATATTGTTACCCTTGAGCCACCTAAGCTAGAAGAAACTGGAAATCAAGAAGAAGCTATAATTGTTAAAGAAGCACAGAGTCCAGAAGACTTTAACATGGGCTCTTCTTCTAGCAGCCATTATACATTCTGTCAGCCAGAAACTGGTAAGAACTACCTAAGGAATACACTGATAGGAGACTTAAGGTCTTCTATGACCACATTTTATATGATGGCTTGCTTGTTTTCTAACCCTAAATCTCAATGTATTGGGATAAAACTCAAGAAAATTTTTTGTAGAATTTACTGTATCTAGTGTTTTCCTATACTCTAGGGCCTAGAGTGCAGTAGTCCTCTGCTATAATAATAAATACCATCTACTGTCATTAAGTAAAAGACAAAAAAATTTTTTTCAAGGAGGTTTGTTAATGTCTCAAAGACTCCAGAATGCATTTAACATTTTTTATCATTGAGTGGGATACTGAACCATTCATCTAGAAGCAGAAGAAAGTTAAGATTTTTTTACTTACAGTGATACAAATTTTGTGTTACAGAAATGGTGAAGGAAACTTACTGAACTCTTTCAGATTCTTTAAATTATTAGTCATTCAATAAACATTGAGTGCTACCATGTCCCAAATAGGGTTCAAGGAGCAGGCAATACAGCAGCATCCCAAAGCCCCTGATATTTGCATCTTTCATTTTATGTTGAGTTTGAAAATGTGCCTCTCCTAAGTCACATTGTTAATACAGTTAATGCCTGTTGTTCAGACAGAATCATTTGGAGGTTAAAATACGAGTTACTGAGCTAGTTTCCTTTCTATAATTTTTGGCTCAGTTTAGGGCTTTATATAACATGTCTTAAGGTAGATGTGAATATTTAGACATAGAGTTACTATGTAAATAGTTAGACATAGAGAAAATATAAGAAACAAACCTGTTATTAACCCACACTTACTAATCTGTAATTGTAACCTAAGGATGATTTATGAGAAAGACACCCAGTAACACTCCTGATTCCAAAAATTTCCTAATGTGATAGAAAAATGGGAACATGGAGTATCTATTTCAATCATCTTTTTAGATTTCATCTTTCTTTTTTTACATTTGCTGGAATCAGACAATGGAATATTTGTTATTGCAGTTTAAGCTAATAAAATGTCAAAAAGAGATTTTTAGCTATCTCATTTAGTGATGAGTTATTTTCCTTTAGTATGTCAGTAGTTTGCCTGTAAACAAAAGTTTGAAAACACTCTATTCAAGTAGTTAAATACTCTTCTGGCATTCTTAGTGGTTGTAGAGAAACTTGAGCCTCTGCCAGAATAGTGTACATTACACCTTTGTTTATGAAGGGGCTAATGTAATTCATCTTAGAATCCTTTTTGTTCACCAGATTTTATTTAAATCAAGTATTTGTGCTGTATTCAAGTAGTCTTCTTCCTTCTGTTTGTTTTTTAATTAAAGACAAGAGGTGCTGGTTTTATTTGCGAATATTCATGGACCAGGAATGGTAGTAAGATTGATCCAGGAGTATTGCAGAAGGGTCCAAGCAGACATTTAAGAAATTGATGCTACAAAACTTTATTTATCTCCTTTTTGAACTTAGATTTCTTAGGAATTTTACAGATTCAGTTGCGAAAAATATTTCCTTAGGTGTAATTTTATCCATTGCTATTCCTCTCAAAGGAATTAATTACTTCAATAAAGAAAATGTTTAAAAATAATCAAAAATGACATTTTGGACT